CCAGCGAGCTCCATCCTCGAAGCGTGTGAGATCGCTGACCGATTGGGATTGATCCGTCCCATTATCGAGCAATCTCAGTACAACATCTTCTCTCGAGACCGCGTCGAGTACGAGTTTACGACGTTGTACAAGCGCTATAAGGTCGGTGTTACAGCGTGGTCACCGCTCGCGTTCGGGACATTGACAGGCAAGTACACAGCCGATGTCCCTGAAGGCTCTCGCTTCACAATGGAGCCCATCAAGAAGAGCATGTTTGGTGGGGAGACGTTCACCAAGAACGTCGAGAAGGCTGAGAAACTCAAGGCCATCGCCGAGAAACTGGGCTGTTCCTTGGCTCAGATGTCACTAGCTTGGTGTCTCTCAAACGAACACGTTGCGACTGTACTAATCGGAGCGAGCAAGACGTCGCAACTGGAGGAAAACCTCAAAGCGCTGGCTGTCGTTGACAAGATCACCCCCGAGGTGAAGGCGGAGATCGACGCCATTGTCCAATACGTGCCGTCTCAACCATGGGTCGACCACCTCCAGGACATCCGCATGAGGCACCTTTAGGCACAACAACATACTCTAACGCTAACGCGTGCTGTAAGAGCCCTCTAACCACGAATATCTTTTTTCGAATAACGTTGACTGTCCGACGACAACCAAGTGATTTTTCCCTCTCAAACTCGGTTAAGGTGAACTTTTGACGGTATCTGCTCTTATTTTTCATTTTGGATTTGCCTCCTATTAGCGAAAGATTTTACCATGTCGTCCGCCACTGCTGCTGCCAAGATGACGTACCGATTCCTGGGCGACTCGGGTCTCCTCGTGTCCAAGTTTGCTCTGGGATCGTGGATGTTCAAGGACGAGAAGAACACGGTGGATGCATGGTACGAGATGATGCAGGCGGCCTTCAAGAACGGCGTCAACTTCTTCGACTCGGCCGAGAATTATGCTATGGGAAGAGCTGACGAGCTGATGGGTGGGGCCATTAAAAAGGGCATTGATGAAGGCGTTTGGAGCCGAGAGGACCTCGTGGTCACGGCCAAGATCTTCAGTGGAACCAAAGGTTTCAACAATGGTACCCCCAATAGTCAGGGACTCAATCGAAAGCACCTGATCGAGGGAACGAAGGCGTCGCTGGGCAAAATGGGGCTAGACTACGTCGACGTGATCTTCTGTCACCACCCGGACGCCTTCACTCCCATTGAGGAGACTGTGCGTGCCATGAACTACATCATTGAAAAGGGATGGGCGTTCTATTGGGGGACAAGCAACTGGTCTGTCGGTGAGATTACCGAGGCGTGTGAGATCGCGGATCGCTTGGACTTAATCCGCCCCATTGTGGAGCAGTCTCAGTACAGTATCTTCGAGCGAAACCGCATTGAGTTCGAGCTCCTGGACCTGTTCAAAAAGTACAAATACGGGATCACTGCCTGGTCTCCACTTGCATTCGGCACCTTAACTGGCAAATACGGTTCTGGGTGTCCTGAGGGAACGCGCATGTACACGGAAGAGATGCGCAATGCGATATGGGGAACGGACTTTGAGGAGAGAGTCAAGAAGGCAGATAAGCTGAAGCCTATTGCAGCAGAATTGGGCTGCTCGCTGGCTCAGCTGGCTCTCGCGTGGTGTGTTGTCAATGAAAATGTGTCGACTGTAATTGTCGGGGCAAGTCGCCAGTCGCAGCTGGAGGAAAACCTCAAAGCGCTCGACTACGTGGACAAGATCACGCCTGACGTGAAGGCCAGGATCGATGCTGTCGTCCACTTTGTGCCTGGACACCCTGTGCCCGATCGTCTGCGTGAAATCCGCAAGCGTCACTTGTAACGTGTAGCGGTCATGCATTGAAAGAACACGGAGATCATGAACTCATTCTGCGATCCCGAAACTACTGGTACGGTTAATTCAATATCATTGCAGGCGGCATTGATAGTCATCGGCAGGCCTCTTTAATTGAGGGAAATCGATACCTCAGAATACCACTATTTAATTCTCCGATCGTCCCTCGCTAAAACTGGCAAGTTGTTAGGTGTGTATATGCCGCGGGCGATGAAGGCATCTTCCAGCGAGGACACGATCTCAAGTATGGTTTAGAAATCTCCGAACGGCACCCTGAAACGTCTGCAGCACTTACCGTAGCATTCAGGTTTTGCATCAAATTTGTCCGTGAAGCCAAACCTGGAGACTAGCGGAGGAAAATCACGAGCGTGCAGTACTTCAAGCATGCTTTCCGTACAGTCAATTATATGCGTCATCATGAACCCTGTCACTCGACAGGTTGGAAACAATAATCTGAAGCATCCGATAAAGTGAAAAGAACATTTTTCGATCGCCTTAACCACGCTAACACACTGCAAGCTCACCTAGATCTAGATGCGCCGTTTCGATTTGAGATCAAGAAATGTATCGTTGACGATATCATCGGGAGGGGTTGCTCATCAATCTTGACGATATGGAGGAAGAGGAAGTGACGCGTACAAATGCTCTTAGTATTTTCAAGGATTGCAGAACTTTTGTGGGACCCTTAACTACATCTTTCCCTAACACTGCCTCGGTAGAGTCTGATTTTTCAATCATCGGCTGGAAACGGGATGAATATCGTCAATCCCAAAGGATTTCTCCATAGAAGGAATTATACACGCGATGCAGTTCCGACAAGTGTCGACACTTGATACTAGTTAAAAAGACTAGATTGTCTATGGTAATATGGATACATTAATTTATACTTACTTATACTAAAGACAATGTCCCTCATTATCCATCTATTGACTTGCCTCCTGATCCCTCTAATAAGCTAATGGGGGGGGGAATGAAAAAAAAACTCTAATAAGCTAATGGGGGGAAATGTAAAAAAATATCCTCAATTAAAGAGGCCTAGTCTTCAGGCTCTGCTTGAACAACCGTTCAAACATCGTACATTTTTTTTCCGCATGGTCTATTTTTTTGTGTGTGTGCACATTTCCTCATACTCAATCCAAGTGTGACCATTGTTGGCACAGAATCTCAATGCTCGCCCGCAGTATCACTGCGACTCGCAGACCTTTCGCACGCCCCAGCTTCAGAGCCATGAGCCGCATGACCACAGACGCTGACAACAACATCGTGCTGTCCCCGGAGAAGCCCACGGCAGCGGTATGTCCACTTGCTCTTCCACCTTAAGCTCAATCCAGCTCGCCACTCAAATTATGATTCATTCACTGGACAGGTGGTATTCCTGCACGGCCTTGGAGACACGGGCCACGGCTGGAGCGACGCCATGGCGATGCTTGCCAAGGGTTTGCCACACGTAAAGTTCGTGCTGCCTACGGGTAAAGTTCGCCCCGAAGACAAATGCCAATTGTTGGTGCTAACCGGGATATCCCACCTGACTCGCAGCTGCATCCATGCCGGTGACTCTCAACATGGGAATGCGCATGCCTGCATGGTACGACATCAAGTCGCTGGCTCGCGTGAATGGCGACAACGCTGACGGCATCGACGCCTCTCGTGACCGCATCATGGAGATCATCGAGAAGGAGGTGGCAGCGGGGATTCCCTTGTCACGTATCGTGCTGGGAGGGTTCAGTCAGGGCGCGGCGCT